GATAGTGTGTTATTGTAAAGACATCTTGGGAACAAATAATTGTCATAAGCCGTCTATCATTTTTGTTTCGAATATAGTTTTTAGCAGTTGAGCTGTTTTCAAGACGATAAAAAGATGTCAACAACCATTGCATTCTTTCTAGGATAGAAAATTTTGTATATATTAGAATATAGTAATGTTATAGTGATTCACAATATATATATATATATATAATTAGAATTTTAGCACTCTTATGATCGAAATTTTTTATTTAAAGAATAAAATGTTGCAATTTAATATAATTTTTAAAGTAATAAAAAAAATGATCATATTCAAAGCAATGTACGTAAACAATTTATGAATGGATGATTGTACATTGATATGCATGTGAAATATAGCACAATTTTAATTTCTAAAAAAGAATTACTTTTATTTATGTAAATAATTTACACAAATAAAATATCGTATTATAGTTATTCTTAAACATAAAATATTAAGATTTATTGTAATTAATAATCATATTCGTACTTCAAATTAAATTTCTTGACAAAAGGCATAAAATTGGATTTTTATGCAATTGTCATGAATGCAGCTCAACAACATTTATCAATTTACAGCCTTTTGCATTATATTCGAAAAATTGCTGCCATTGTGCTTTAATCATCAAATAGGTATTAGACGTTCATCGTCATATATATCGTAATTGGTCAAAGATGCATTTATATTTCTATTTGAGAGTTAAAGTACCTCAGGTACTAAATTAAAAGAAAATGAAAAATTAAATTTAAGAAACAAGTTGCAGAAAACAAAATCAAATACCCCTGAATGGAATTAAATTTGTACGAAGACATGTTGGCTGAGAAAAGAATGAAATTTTATATAGATATATATATATTATATATTTTTTATAAAAAAATCAGTCGCGGACATGCTTTATGGTATCAGACAACATGATCATACATTGGGGGAAAAATGAAAGAAAATTAGGAGTTGGGCTCCATAAATCTTTGTACATATTTTACATCGTGTGTGTTAAAGACACTCGTAAGTCAGGTTTTAGTAGTTTATCGCACACAAGTATAGCTACATATATTATTGTATAATGGTTTCAGAAATCTTGCAGTAGCACATGCTAAATATTTGTTTTAAGAAGTCAAGACGATGTGTATCGACACTCAATCAAATAATAAACAGAATGTATTTTAACTTCGCGTAAAAAGAATAAAAACAGAGAATGTCTTATTTATATTTCATTGTTTATTATTTTTTATTGTTTATTATAAATGATCTCATCAGAATATATAAAAATTTTATTTTCAAAAGTTTTCATTATTCAAAATAACAACATGAAAATAGTTTAAAACATTTAATACAAAAGCATTGTAATATAATGTATTTGTATAATGTAACTCAATTTAATAAACTACAAAATAATTAACAGCAAGATTGCAAACAATAATATTCAAATATTAATATCAATCATATTTTTTCTTTTTGATTATTGTTATAATAAATTTGTTATATAAGATATTATTTAAATATTATATATATTTTAATATTATTAATTGAATTTCATAGTTTAAACTAGATATATGAAGTATACATTTTTGTCAAAATAATCATTTTTAAATATAATATTATTTAAATGAATCTCTATTTATTAATTTAAAAAATAATAAATAAATATAACATTATCTTATAAATCTTGAATATATGTGTCTGCTACTTCATTATGATCTATCATTATCTTTATTATGTACTTTACATATTTAGGCAATAATATTTGTAAAAAAATATTATACAGGTATTGGATATTAATTTCAGGATATTGATTAAATATATAAATAAACTATTATGTACATATATTGATCACAGATACATAACTTTATATTGTCTTTTCTTATGTAATAATGATAACATATTGAATAAAACAAATAATATTAAAATATTTAAGAATATATAACAAATGACGAACTATTTGAGTGACGAACGCATCCTTATCTTCTAAAAACAAATTTTCTCTTTGTAAATCATGAATTACATGTGAAATAATACATATAGTAAGCACAATGTGGATTGTGTCGCCAACCAATAATATTGTTCTACGTGACATTTAATTGTGTTAGCGAATATTGTTAAGAAATAAATCCTATCTTAACAAATTATAGTAATATCATTTATCCTTGTATTATTCTTAAAATGATTTTTAGTTTTATAAAATATTGTAATTAATTAAAATTTTTATTTTGAAAGTTGTTATTTTGAAAATTATTATAAATTATTCATTATATTGCAACTTAGAGGTAAACAAATTTCAAATTTTGTTAAACTCTGCATAATAATATATATTAATATGATATAATTATGCAAATATTCTTATTATTATAGTTTTATACATATATTTTATATATAAAACCATTAATATTTAATAACAAATGAAACATGATTACTTTATGTATATTAGTATTGACAATTTTGTGTATCTAATATATAATGCTAGTAAACATCTGTCAATAAAATGATTTCTTATTTTTAATTTATTTTTAATTATATATAATGTGACATTATTTAATATTTTAAGAAATTTGACATAGCTATCTATCTTTGTACACCAGCAATTTATATTTGTTAAAGAAGCAATATATTATCTGACATTATTAAAAAATGATTACAAATTTGTTTTATTATATATATATATATATATATTATATAATATATAAGTATATATATATATAATAAAAACTATACAGAATACATAACATAAAATATTAATTGAAAAATTTGAACATTAATATTCAAATAAGTTAAAGATATTTATATAAACATACCTAATTTTAATTTTATTTAATATAGTCAAAAAAAATTTTAATTTTTTTAAAAAGTAATGAAATACAAAGAAATAATTATTATATATATGTTATAATATTAATAAAAAATTATAATTTGTGTAAAAAATAAAAAGTTTATACAATAAATGAATAATTTTAAGAAAAAATTGTATAAAATCATCAAAGACAAGTAAATTAAGCAAATAATTTTATGGATTGCTGAATGAATTGATTAATTATATATATACCTTTTTGTTTAACAATATTATGTTCCTAATAATAAATTATTCAAATAACAATACAAATAAGATACAGAAAATGTTTAATAATATTGAGCGTAAAGATATGCTTTTAATTCTATATGTCAACATGGAGGTGAACTAGATGTTGGCGCAGTATCAACAGTTTGTGTCGAAGTTGATGCAACTGTTGATGACTTTGTTAATCTTCGTTTAGCTAACAAAAATTGTCCCATTAATTCATGATGAGCTTCTAGTCGTTCGATACAATGTAGACATGCCGTTTTAGGTAATGGGTCATTCATGTTTACCTATATGACAAAAGTATAAAAATTATATATTTCTAAATTTTTAATTAAATTTATTTATTAATATATAATATTATTATTATATATTAATATTATTTATATATTTACACATATATTTTAAAAAATTAGAAACTTTGTTTACATATAAAAGTTCTTAAAATATATAATATGTATATAATATAATAAATAAGTAATTTAAATTAATTTTTAATAAATTAATATAATAATTATATTTAAAAAACTTAATAAAATCATAATAAAATAACTTTTTTTTATCATGATGTACAATTTTTAATCTTTAAATTATTATATTTGAGTCAATATTGATAAATATGGTTAAAAATTTTATATAAAAAAAATTAAAAATATAACAAGCTGAAATCTTATTTAGTCATATATAAAATATACAAGATAAAAATTTTATTAACAATGATATTGATAAAAATGATTTAAAAAAATATAAAAGTACATAATTAATTTACCGTAATTGGGAGATAAGCATTTATTTTTTCAGCAAGTTTCATTCTTTCACCCTCTTCACCGTATATGTGGATCACGAAACGGTTCATTTTGCTGCAAAGTCTACATATAAAACCCGTGATCACAGCTTTATCTGTGCTACCCATTTCAATTATTTACTAAAATTTATTTTTTTATGTATGATACTTATCGACACCCTATAACCCGACACAAGTCAATAACTTCACACAAAAATTACTATTCTATAAATCGCACAAGATGTTATGCTTCTTTCGAGATTGTTTATCATAGTTCTGAATAACTGGCGCTACAAGCACTGTATTTCTACCATACCATATCAAAATTTTGTAGAGAAAATTGCTTACTCTTCCTTGATATTATAAATTGAATATATAGTCATTTAGTTTAATTAAATAATATTTTTAATTAATAATATTATATAATAAATATAAAAAATTGAAAATGAATTGTTATAATATATTTAAAGTTTACTAATATTTTAATAATTAAAGATTATGAAGGAAGTTTTAAAGGTTATAAATAAAATTAAAAGAATTGATAAATTAAAATTGTTTTAAATTAAGTTTCTAGCATTGATTATTTTTTAAAGTTAATATTTGATTATTGTAATAATAATATATTTATTTTATATATAATAAATAAAAATAATTTCATTTATTATTATTTTTGTTTATTCTATTTAAACAATTTAAAGTTATTTGATATAGTTTTAATAACATTTATTTTTTGCTATATAAATTATTGCTAATAAGATTATTTGTTATAATATCATTATATTTAATCATTTGTTTAATATCATTTTATTAATTATATTTATTTAATTATATATATCATCACTAATTATCAATAAATAGTTAATTATTAATAATCATAATTTTTTGAAAAATTTATATATTTAGTAATATATATACACATATATAATGTATTATAATTTTTATTAATATTACAAACATAAATTATAAATAAATTATATATTTTATCAATCAAATCTATAATTAAATAATTAAACAAATATTAAGTTACAAAAAATAAAATTTAATTAATATTAATTTTATATCGCTTATGTACATAAAAAAAGATAAATTTTTGATTTGTATAATGTTAATAGTAGTATTTGAAGTACTGATACAATAATTTATATATCATATTACTTCAATAAAATATGGCGACGATCAGCTGTCTTCTGTCATAATGACATTCATATTGATAAGCATAAGATTAAATTTTTTAGGAATTATTTAAATAAGATACATTCGTAAACTACAATAATAAAGTGAAATAGTTTTACGTTATTATATTATTTTTTGTAAATACGAAAAATTTACAAAAAATAGAAAGCTATTTACTGCTGTTCATCTGAAGTAAGCGGCAAGTGAATGCAGCTGCGTAAAAAAGCAATATGGTGACTAACGAATTAATCAAGTGTTGAGGATAATCAGAATACAAATGTTTAATAATATTACCAACTTTTGCAATGGATGGTGGTGAAATTGAGTGATGAACTTAACGTGATTAAAAGCCTTTCAGAGGCTAAAGGGAAGAAAACCATGTGCGATGTATGTGTTGACTTTCACGATCTTCTGCTCTCCTGTAAGCAAAATGCACAATATTTTCATATTAACCTATTGTACTCGGGCATGTTGTAAATTTTTGTTTTGTATCATCATCTAATATTTTAATATAAATAATTTAGAAAAAGAATTACTATAAAAATTATTTTTATAATTATATTTAACTTTATATTATAAAATTTCGTTTATAACATTATAATGTATAACCTCATCGTTTATATATAATTTTAAAGCCTATTAATACACGAATATATTTCAATATTAAATATATAAAATAATAAAATAATTAAATAAGTTATATTTTACAAAAATCGTAATTATTATTAAAATTAAGATTAAATATTTGAAATAAAAAAAAATAGTAGTAACATAAGAATGTTTTCTTGATTTTGTTTATAAAATTTTTATATTGTTTTTAACTTATAATTTATATTTAGATGATGAAAGATCATCAAAGGAACAAGATGGATTGGGATTACTTTGTATTTCGGATGTGGATACAACATTACATTATGTTAATCAGTGGGTGCAAAGGTCTGATTTTATTTTTGTTTTTTAAACTTTATATAAATTTTTATACAAACTATATATATATTAAATTTTTAATATAATCGTATTATTTCTGTTTTAAAAATTTTTTTTCATTTATTTTTATAGACAATGCATGTGCTGTTATCGAGAAATAAAAAATTTTGATCGATTTATAAGACTAACACAAAGTGTTGTATTATGTACATTACAACAATTACAAATTATACAACAAAATGGTCAGCAAACAAAAGTATTATCCAAAGATGAAAAAGAAGAAGAAAAAGCAGATGAAAATAAAATAGAAAACTCTGATTTTGCACAAACAGAAACACAAACAAAACAAAATTGGTCTCAACAAGATAGAGAAAAACTATTCCATCTTCTTTCAAAAATATTTTTATTAAATTTTCCTCTATATATTGCAATGAAACATAGTGGTGCAATTAATCCATTAGCTCCAGTAAAAGTAATATATTATAAATAAAGTTAAATAAATTTGTTAAAAATTTATAAATTTGTTAAATATATTATATATTTATACATTACTTTTTTATTATTTTGAAGGATGAAGGAGGATATTGTGAACCTCATGACCCAGAAGTGCCAGCTCCTTTAATTAGAGCAGTTTCTATATTTTGTCATCAAGGTGGTTTTAATTTAATGTCTGCTTGTTTTGATATGGAAAACACATTACCTGTTAGTCTTGCTCATTCAATGGTTGCAGTGATTTGTAATTTAAAACTTTGGTTGAATTATGGTAGTGTTATTCAGCTCTTTATACCATTACGTAGTCGTGTTATGAAATATATGTGTCGCTTAGCAGATAAAGAATTACGCACACCAGCAGTTAGAACAATGGCAGGTAAATTTTGAAATAAATAAAATTAAAATAATTTGATATATTAATTTTCAATTATGAATTAATAGTTTTTTACACTTAGATTTCATGTGGAGTGCAGTAAAGGATCCTATTGATGCTGTTTTACCAAGTTTTGATCGTGATGGATTGGATTTAGCATTTAAATATTTTACTAGTACAACTTTAACAATGAGATTAGCAGGAATAGCTCAGATAAATGCTCATATTACTGCATTCAATGAACTTTGCAATAGTGAAACTGTCGCTGAAGTGGAACAAGTGGGCCATGCCTTAGCAGCTTGGTTAACAGAAAATAATATAATAGCTCATATATTTGGACCAAATTTGCATGTAGAGGTTATTAAACAAAGTCATATTGTACTAAGTTTCTTAGCTATGGAAGGTAGAATCACATGTTCGGATATGGATACTATGTGGCAAGCTGCACAATTAAAACACTGCGGTCGTCCAGTATATGATTTATTGGCACCCTTAGTAAAACATTTGGCTCCAACTCCAGTTTTACATTTATACTCTTTGTTAGGAAAATTGGAGCCAAAAGACCATACAGAACAAAGTTTATTCCTGGCATCTGCTTTGATAAAATTTATTTGGACAGCAGGTGGTTCAGGTTATCCAAGAGGTTTATCTATAAAAAACAGAGAGATTTTAAGAGGTAATAATGGCATTGGTGGTAGTAGTACTAGTGATCCTAGTGGAATAGATGGAAGCAGTCCAGATGAGGATGAAGAAGAACCTAGTCCTGCACCATCAGAAGGACCATCACCACGAAAACAAGCAAGAGGTGATAGTAGTGATGGGGAAGGTATGCTGCATATATAATTGAAACTTTTATTTTTAAATTATATGACTTAATAATATATATTAATAATACTATAATTATATAACATAAATATTAACAGGTCCATTTAAAGCAAAAAGTATGGGCACAACAATTGTACAAACAAGTTCAAACGAAGGAGAAGATCCTACAATAGAAAAATCTGAATGTTTTGCTGAATCGATAAAAGATTCTACATGTAATATACAAGATGATATAAAAGAAAAACAGAGTGGATCAGATGCAGAAGCAGATACAGAAAAATCTAATACAGAGGAAACAGTTGCAATTGAGAAAAGAAAGAAAAAAGTATTAAGAAAACGGAAAAAACCTCAAAAACGTTCATTAGTTACTGTAGATAAAACATTAGAAGGTATCGTTAATGAAGAAAATAACATAAAGACTAAAGATTTAATGTTAGATATGAAATATAGGCCGGAAGATGTTTTAAACAGTACTTTAGATACTGGTGGATTAGTTTCTATTGATGATCCAAAAAATGTTGATGCATTAGATCGTGTAAAGCAACAAGCAATGGCTTTAGATCCAAGTGATCAACAAGTTCCAACAACAGCAACACTTTTAAGAAGAGCTAATAAAAATAAATATATGTCATTAGTAGCACATAATGTAGATCGAGCTCCTGATTCTGCAGATACTTCGCATGATGAAGATGATAGTGATGTAGCTGGTGTTCTTGCAGCAGCAGATGGACCTGGTGCTGTTATATCAGAACTTGCAGGTTTAGTACATGCGACTGGACCTACATTTTTACCTTCCGGATTAGACGAAATGCTTTCAGATGAAGAAGGATCTTATAGTAGTAGAATATCTAATAAAAGTGAAAAAAATATGGCAGATTTTGATGGAGAGGAAAGTGGTTGTGAAGAAGAATTAGCTCAATTAGCTGCACGTCATTTAACAGCTATACAAATGCAAGCTTATCATCCTCATCATTCTCATCCAACAATGACAATCAGACGCTCTGTTTGTCGTCCTCCACAAGTAAGAAGTATTCGCCAAACAGTAACACGTGTTAGTTCTCAGTTCAACTTGGATACTGTATGTAAAGCTGGAAATACATTATTGTGGGATCTTTTACAAGATGATAAAATTGGTCAATTAGGAGAAGGTTTAGCTTTGGAAGCTGAAAAAGCTTTGTGTAATCTTCTTTGTTTCAATGTTGATCGATTGATACCTATGAAATTTATAGAAGGTTGTTTAGAAAATCTTGCAACTAACCGTTCTGTAGTTGTATCTTTAAGATTATTACCTAAATTACTTGCCAGTTTTCAACAATTTGGTGCAATGGATGCACATACAATAACAACATGGGCTGATCGTGAACGTGGAATGATGAAACACTTCTTTAATAATCTGAAAACATATACTAGTATAGGGCCAAAAAATAGTTTATATTCTCATCAAACGGAAATACAAGTTAGATTACAATTTTTATCTTCTATTTTTTCACCTTTAGGTTCACCTGATTGTTTTCGTCTAAGTCTTGAACAGGTGGACATATTATGGCAATGTTTGTCACAAGATTCTACGTGTGCAGATGAATTATTTAGTTGGTTGCTTAGTCAAGCAAAATCAACAGAACAACATGCACTTGGAATGGATACACTTAAACATTTATGTATGCGTAAATTACCAAGTTTGCCACCTGAAACTATTAGTATGACAGGCCTCAGTCTTTTTCAACAATTGTGTAATTTAGCTCGTTTAGCTGCTGCACATTTGGACAGACCTTTAAGAGATGTGGATTCAGTTGGTATGGATTTCTTGTGGAGAATTGCATTAAAAGCAAAAAGTACAGATGTCAGTATGGCAGCTATACAATACCTAAATGGATATTACATGTCTAGACAATTAACTCAAGAAGCAGAATTTGTTTCACAATGTATGACTCACCTTGCTGCAGCTAGTGCTGATCTGGAAATAAATGAAGAAGCTAGTTTACGTTGTATACAAAGAGCTTTGTTATTATTAAGAACACATTTAGAAGCATTCCGAAAACGGTATGCATATCATTTGCGACGTTGGATACTAGAGGGTAGAGGTGCCGGTAGTCATGTAGCTATGAATACTTCGGAAAAAGGTCAACAGTTAAGAATATTTGTACAGCCTGCAGGAATTCCTGAAAAAACAAGTTTCACTCTTCTTAGTACTGATTATGTAGCTGATTTAAGAGCTGAAGTTGCTAAGTGGTGGGATGATACTCAAAATAATCAAGAAAAATCATCATCCAATACAAATGCGGGTCAAAATAATAGTTCAGTACTAGGTTCTTTACTTACTGATGGTCCAATTAGGATGATTACACAAGGTCAAGAATTAACTATTGATTTTGATGAAAAGACATTGCAAGAAATGGGATTTAAAGATGGTCAACTAGTATTCATTTCTCCTGGTGCTGGTCGAGGTAATGGTACGGGTAGATGTAATAAACGAGATGTGGATTCACCATCTCTTTTGCCACCACCTCCTCGAGAATCTTTACCGACTTTATTGTTATTACGTCCACAATATTTTGAACAATTATTTACATTAATGAGAACTTTAAGTGCTATGAAAACAATTGTCAAAGGAGGACAGGAAATTCCTCATACAAAAGCCCAAGTACTTTCGAGAAGAGTTTGGGATACATTAACTTTACTACCAACTAGTCCAACCTTATTAAGAGGATTTCAAAAATTGGGAGAAACAACCTTGCTAGAATTATTAGATCCTGCTAGTCCTCAAAAACTAATGTATTCTTTATATATAGTAGAATCATTAAGTAGACGTAGTACAACGAATCAATCTTCTGTTGTGAATTGTACATCTACTGCATCTGGTAACGAAGGTGATGTCGATACAGACGATACTCATGAAGACAAAGAAAAAGATATTACTTGGTCCACATTATTTGTTCAACATGGAGGTTTACGTCATTTATTTGATATTTTTATGTCTGGTTGCTTGGAACAAGGTGATGGTAGTGAATGGCAGCAGGACTGTCTTGCTAGTTTATTAAAACAACTCTGTTATTTGGGTGTTGTTAAAGAAGAAAAAAAACGAAATAAAGCAGATAAATTGCTTGTACCTAAATTAAGCGAAGTGATGCTTTCAATGATGAATGTTGAAGCTGTTATGTCTCGAATAACAAGTATATTAAATGAAGCATCTTTACCAAGAGATCCAAATCATTACAAAACAGGACTTTTTGGAAGATCACAAGTTATACATTATACTATGGCTTTATTGGTTTGTTGGGTACACAGTAATGAAACAGTTAAGCAGTATCTTTTTTCATCTTCAGAACCATTTGGAAAAACTTGGTTAAGAAGATTAGTATTGGAAGATCCTGAACCAGCAGTGAGAAGAGAAGTTTGCACAGCCTTATATAAATTATGTTTAGGAACTACAGGATTTGAAGATGAAAATTCTATTAATTCCAATTTAATTGTACCAATGTTAAATACTTTATTGGAACACCTTGTAATTGCTGAAGCAATGCAACCTTCTCATCGAAAACCAGATTTACCATTACATTTACATCCAGTACTTGATGATGGAAAAGAACCATATGGACCTGCTTGTAGAGATTATTTTTGGCTTGTTTGTCGATTAGTTGATTCTCTTCCAGAAGAAGCTATTAAAGAAGGTTCAGATGATTCTAATTTAACAATAGATCTTGAAGCTTTAGCAATAAGAGTAATTGATTCACTTTTAAATAGAGATCATCTTGAGACACGACACAATACAGTAGAAGATGATGGTTTAGTTGGATTATTAAACCTTACTTGTAACATTATGACACATAATCCACCTTGTAAACAAGGGAAAATTGGACAAAATTTACTACATGAAGTATTCGATTTTTTATTTGCATTGCCTAATCCTCGATCAAAACATGTACCAAAATGTAAAAGTCAAGTTTCCAGATCAGCAGCTTTTGACCTTTTAGTCGAACTTGTAAAATCTGCTCCAGATAATTATAGAATTCTTCATGAAAAATTACTAATTCAACATAAACCTGGTCCTCATTCTCCATATCCATGGGATTATTGGCCACATGAAGATGGACGTTCTGATTGTGGATATGTTGGTTTAACTAATTTAGGTGCTACTTGTTATATGGCTAGTTGTATGCAACATTTGTATATGATGCCACAAGCACGTGTCTCTATATTAGGAGCTGATTGTAATAGAGCAAATAAACACCAACTTACATTAAGAGAATTACAAAGAATGTTTGCTTATCTTCTAGAGTCTGAAAGAAAAGCATATAATCCTCGAAGTTTTTGCCGAGTATATACCATGAATCATGAACCTCTCAATACTGGAGAACAAAAAGATATGGCTGAATTTTTTATAGACCTTGTATCAAAATTAGAAGAAATGACATCAGATTTAAAAAATTTAGTAAAAACATTATTTTGTGGTGTAATATCTAATAATGTTGTATCATTAGATTGTGAACATGTAAGTAGAACACTAGAAGAATTTTATACTGTACGTTGCCAAGTGGCTGATATGAGAAATCTTTATGAAAGTTTAGATGAAGTTACAGTTAAAGATACTTTGGAGGGTGATAATATGTATACATGTTCACAATGTGGTAAAAAAGCAAGAGCAGAAAAAAGAGCATGTTTTAAAAAATTACCACATATATTGTGTTTTAATACAATGAGATATACATTTAATATGGGAACTATGTCAAAAGAAAAAGTAAATACACATTTTAGTTTTCCATTAAGATTAGATATGTCTGGATATGTCGAAAAAAAACTTATACCACAACATTATCAAGAAGAAAAGAAAGCTTTTGAAAAAAGAAAATCTGAAAGTGATTGTCAATCAGAATTAAATGATGATGATGGTACAGAAATGGAACATTATCAGTATGATTTAATAGGTGTAACAGTTCATACTGGTACAGCTGATGGTGGACATTATTACAGTTTTATTAGAGATCGTACATCTCCTAATAAAGATAAATGGTTTTTATTTAATGATGCAGAAGTTAAGCCATTTGATCCAAATCAAATAGCAGCAGAATGTTTTGGTGGAGAAATGACAAGTAAAACCTATGATTCTGTTACAGATAAATTTATGGATTTTAGTTTTGAAAAAACAAACTCAGCATACATGCTATTTTATGAATGGTGCACTGATCCTGGAGATCAAGCAAAAGAAGAAGAAGCTACTGTTTCAAGTCCAAATGGACGACAATCTTCTTCATTGATTCATAAAAATACTAATAAATTACCACCATTAGAACTAAATAAAGAACTTGAAGATTGGATATGGCAAGATAATATGCATTTTTTACAAGACAAAAATATATTTGAACATACATACTTTACATTTATGTGGCAAATATGTGGATATATACCACAAACATTATTCTCTATACAATCTGATATAACAGAAATGTCAGCAGACCTTTCAACATCGTTTTTTATGGAGACTTTTATTCATGCCAAGGAAAAACCAACAATGGTGCAGTGGGTAGAATTGTTAACAAAACAATTTAATGGTTCAGCTGGTGCATGTGCTAGATTTCTTGAAAAAATGGCTGGAGATTCATGGTGGCCAATTCAAATTCTAGTCAAATGCCCTAATCAAATGGTAAGACAAATGTTCCAAAGGTTATGTATTCATGTGATACAACGTTTGCGCGCTACTCAAGCACCTTTATATCTTCTTTGTGATGAAGAAAATGACGTAAATACGGTTGGCACACGATCATGCGTGACAAGATTTGTAAGAATGCTTTTGTCTCTTATGGAACATGCGAAACAACATTTGAAACATCTTACTGAATATTTCAGTTTTTTATATGAATTTAGTAAAATGGGTGAAGAAGAAACGTTATTTCTAATAAGAGTACAAGCTATATCAACTATGATAAATTTTTATCTTGGACACAAAACACATGAATTTGTTGATGCAGTTAGTGAAGAAGAAGAGGAAGAAGAAGTTGTTGCTATGCCAACAGAAAAGTTGAGACCTGCTTCTTTAGACAAAATGATTACCTTAATAGCAACTTTAGTTGAACGTAGTAGAGGATCTGATCATAGGTAATTAAAAATTTTAATAATTTGTTAATTTTATTTAATATAAGAATTGCATTACATATTATATTTTTATATTTTAGATTATCATTGTCTCCAATAGATCTTAGTGCTGTAGCAGGAGGTAAAGGGTTCCCTTTTTATATCAGCAAACACGAGATGTCATTAATCTTAATCAAACACGAAACTTGATACAATCTTTATGTCGTTGGAATGATAGATTAGCAATACATATTATAACAATGATATTTCAAGCTATAACAAAACATACAGATGTTTGCCAACCATTTTTCAAATTATTGACATTGTTAACAGAAAGCTCAGGATTAAGTGGGTTGCCATGTATGACTCAATTGATTTTAGGCAGAGTTTGGGAAGCAGCCAGAGTTGCTCCACATGGAGCATTAGAATGGCTAGCTTTAGCCGTTACAAGAAGTAAACTTGCACATGCTTGGGTATTACAAGGATTAGATACATGGTTACAACATTTTTTATTGGAACATTCAAATCAAAGAGTTCGTTCTGCAGCTGCTTTTCTTCTTGTATCATTGGTTCCATCGACTCATTTCAGACAAGGTTATCGCAGTGCTCATAGATTAGGTTTAGGATGCAATACATCTAGAGAATTACAATTATCCCCAGAAGCTACTTTAATTTTGCATAAAATATATACTGCACTTTTACGATTATTGCAACCTGCAAGACATTATATTGATATACAAACTCATGGTACAATGAAACTCACTGCCTATTTTGCATTACTTACATATTGTGTTATTTCTAAAACAGAGAAGTTAATGGTAAGTATTTCATAATATATAATATATAATATTAAATTTTAATCATTATTATATAATTATTTTATATTTTTATTTTCAGTTCGGACAATATCTGAATGATTTATGGACACTTTTTCATCCAAAACTTTCTGAACCTAGCATTCCAGTGCATCATAATAAACAAGCTGTATTATTATTTTGGTATCATGTTTGTTCTGATTGTCCGGAAAATGTTGCTCTTATACTTCATAATCCTCATATAACAAAGAACATTGCATTTAACTATATACTGTATGTACTATTTATTTAATTCAAAATTGAAATAATATGAAGAAATAATATATTTGAGTTATTAAATTTTATTTAAATTTTAGCGCTGATCATGAAGATCAGGATGTAGTATTATTTAACAGAGTAATGTTACCTGCTTATTATGGTTTATTACGATTATGCTGTCAACAATCACGCACTTTTACAAGACAATTAGCAGCACATCAAAATATTCAATGGGCATTCAAAAATATAACACCTCACCCTACTCAATATTCGACTGTAAGATTTTTATTAATTTAAATTTTATTTTTTTTTTATAAAACTTATTTATAAAACTTTTTTATAAAACTTATTTTAAAAAAATTAAAAAAAATTATTTAAAATAATTTTAAAAAAAATTATTTTTTCTTACATAGGCTGTGGATGAACTATTTAAATTAATGCAATTGTTAGTTGCAAGACATTCTGATCAAACAGAACAAGAAGAAGCTGAAATTGCATCATTCAGAAGAGGAACTTTATCTTCGTACTTACAAGGATTAGATGGACGATCATGTTGGGCTACACTTATTCTGCATTTCGGTATAAATATATATTTAATAATAATTTTTTTATTATATATATATATATATATATATATATATATATATATATATAT